GCTCCCTTTAGGTACTGAAAGGCTGCAATGAGGTCACCCCGCAGCCTTCTTTTCTCCATGCTGAACAAGCCAAGCTCCCTCAGCCTGTCTTTACAAGGGAGGTGCTCCAGTCCCCTGATCATCTTTGTGGCTCCTCTGCACCCTCTCCAACAGCTCCCTGTCCTTCTTGTACTGGGGGCTGCAGACCTGGACACAGCACTGCAGATGGAGCCTCACAAGGGCAGAGCAGAGGGGACAATCACCTCCCTGTCCCTGATAGCTACCCCTCTTCTGATGGAGACACCTCTGACACATACACAGATAACAAGTGCCTTAGGACCTTGCTGGACTACTCATAATATACATGTAACTTCTTGTTCTTTTTCAATACTACTAATGATTCTGTGGTTGTAGCTCTGCAAGGTGTTCTCCAGCAGCTTGGAGCCACCACAGAGCAGCAGCAAAGGGCACAGATTCAAAGTTTAAAACCACTCTTTGATGTCTCCTGTTACCCTTTTCTCTCCCTCACATTGCTTGCATTACCCTTCTTGGAGGAACAAAATGGTGGTTGGCTTTAAGTCACAAGACAAGCAACTTCTGCTCTTTCTCCTTTATAAATCACCATGATAGAGATTCCAACTCACGGGTCCCATTTCCAGGTTTCTGTGACATCCCGATGGGTCAGGATGGGTCTGGGTAACAACACTGCCTATGGCTTTGCCATCATCTCTAATCCCCATTTCAACTGAACGCTGGAGCCAGTGGCTCACTGTGACACTTGCTCCTGAAAACACCTTCCTGAGGGCAGCATCTTACACTTCAAAGTTGAGTGCTTAAACCTGAGACACAACCGAGGCATAGAGATGGGATTTTGATGGCTTGTGGTGGCTTTTTCTCCTCTACAAGGCCAAATCCAGAAAGGCTGGGAGATCATTGAATCATATCATAAAATCATAGAATGGCCTGGGTTGAAAAGGACCACAATGCTCATCCAGTTCCAACCCCCTGCTGTGTGCAGGTCACCAACCAGCAGCCCAGGCTGCCCAGAGCCACATCCAGCCTGGCCTTGAATGCCTGCAGGGATGGGGCATCCACAGCCTCCTTGTGCTGCTTCTAAAATCTCCTAATTATTTTCAGTTTGCAGGAAGAGAGGTGCTAGAAGGTGAGGCATCAGCTCAGGCAGGCTCTTTAGCCATCATCTCACGGATGTGGGTGACACTGGGGTAGGATGGTTCTCCCTTCAGCTCTGATGTCTGAGCCCACACTCAGCATCCTTAGCTGCAACCCCTGCCGGGCATCCACCTCCCACGGCCAGTGCAAAATCCTTCCAACTAAACCACGCGAATGCTTTCAACAAAGCACACAATGGGAACATGTATCACACGGAGCTGCTGCAGCTTTGCCCTGTGGTGACTGAGCCTTTGGGGCCACCCCAGTCCCTGCACGCCAAATGAGTCAGGATGGGATTAGCAGCACATCCTCCCACTCGCAGCACACAGACCTCAGGCCAGCTCAGCACGCAAAGTGACACCAAATGCACCCGAGCGTTAGGTGAGCAGTGATGTTAAATGCCAAAATCAAACATTTGGCATCGCATTTTAATTCCCTTTATTCCAGCCAGAGCCATGAAGCAGGTCAGTGCGTTTCTCCCTCTGTCCCTCAGAATGTGATTGCCTTGGTCCAGGTGCTGACCACCCATGGGTGTCGCAGTGATGTTCCATCTAACACATCTAACCCACCCCACCAGCACTGCCCAGCACCCAGTGTGAGGACGTGAATAATAACACCACCTCAGAACATTGAGACCCAGGAATAGAAGGCTCTGCCTGTAGGGACAGGACTTCTTCCTACTGGCAATCATAATTATCCATTAGCTTATTATCATTTGAGCGAGATTACACAAGGATTTATTTATAACTCTCAGGATAGCTTGTCCAAGCAGGTCACTGAATACTTCTCAGATGAGAACTAAGATGAATCAGCATTGCAAGAAGCAGATTTTCTGCCCACCAGGTGCAAGGAGATGAAAAAGCAATTTCTGTTGAACTGCATCCAGAGTTGAACGTCATTCATCCTCTCTAGGCCAGAGACAACAGTGCATTTCACAATGAGCCTCCAAATCCAAAAAATGAGTATTGGATGCATCAGGAGCAGCATTTGGTTGTGGAGGTGATGGATATTTGGCACGAGCATGGAACACAAAAGGGCCCGGTGTTGGTCCTGGTACCAACAGAACTGGTGTGGAGCAGCTTTTGGAGATGGAGCCCAGGGCCCTGGTGGAGCTGAGGACGCTGGGTTACGTCAGGCCAAGGCACTCTGCAGTGCTCCGTATCACATTTTGACCACGAAACATCCAAAAACTGCAGTGCTGTTTGAGCACAGCAATTTGCAGGGAGGGGCAGAAACTCTCCTTACATCATCCAAAATAGTTGGGACGGACCCAGGGTCTGAGGCACGCGCACTTCTTTGTATTGGAAAGATAAGCAACAATCTGGAAGCCAAGGACCAGCTCAGCTCAAAACAAAAGCTCAGAACACTTTCCAAGCCCCCAGAGGCAGCCAGAGGGGAGGAAGGGCCCGGGTAGGGTGAAGAAAGCCCATGACTCAGAAACCTTCATCCCACATGTTGGAAATGCATGAAGTCATCTCAGGAAGAACGAAGTGCTTCGCTCTGACGCATCAGAAACAACCCAGGATGGTAAAGCCAAATTGGGCTGGGAAAGGGGGTTATGTGAGCTACACACTGTGTCTTTTTGGTTGCAGCCTCAGAAAATCTGCTGGGAATTGAGAGCTGTGTTGGGAAAACGTGGAACATCACACCAACACCCTCTGCTTCTTGGGTACCTGCATGTGGCTCTTGCTGTTGATTTGGACAAGGAGCTTAAGAGGAAAACCATTAATCTACAGGAGTATCTTGCTCCAGGATTTCAATTCTTTCTCTCTTTGCTTAGAGGAATGGGTGACACACTGCCAGGGTTCAACCTGAGTGAGCGTTTGGGTACCATGGCACATTACAGGAGCCAGAGTAGGGCACAGGCAGAGGTGAAATCTGAGGTCAGAGTGCTGAGGAAATCCCAGCCATGACTTACTCAGACTTTCTCTGGATGTGTAACAATAGGAGCTGAATCCCAGCCTGAGGGATATCACAGGAAGCTCAATGTCAATAAGCTCAGAATAGCATCCACTGAGAGCCCAGCACTGTGTGCACCCAGTGGAGTTCATCACTGCAATCCCAGCAGGAGGAGGAGGAGCAGTCCCTTCTGGGAGCCCTTTGCTGCTTTCCCATTTCCCCAGCCTGGCTAGTCACAGATGCAGGTGCCTGTAACTTTGGGCCTAAAACCAGCTATTTTAGCATCCCACGTGTGCTCACTGCAGAGGGGTAGTGTTAAACTGCAGTGATCTCAATGAAGAGCAAGCACTGCAAGTGAGACCAGCTGCGTGCTGGGTGGGACAGAGCTACAGCTGAGCCATCAGCAGGCACCAAGGGGAGGCAGGAGCCAAGCAAACAGCAGCTTGTGAGCCCATGGATTCCAAGAACTTCAACCCATCGTCCTCCATCCCCCGCCCAGTGCAGCTGCTCTGCTCAGCCCATCTGGGAGCTTCTCTGCTGCAGCACTTTTCCTGCAGTGTAACCTCAGCCGTGCTCTTCAGAGCTGACCCTACACCCTGCGCAGGGAGAACATGCAGAGCTCAGCCCTGCTCCCTGCCTCTCTTTTGCATATTTGAAAGCTCTTATCTCGTTTCACCTCACACTCCTCACACCTGCAGGTGTGTTGGCTCACACGGTGCAGCCCAGGCGCCGTCCTGACAGGGTGCCCTGATGAGCCCTGCGTTCCTTCACCCCTGCTGTACAGCATTCAGTGCACAGACCTGGGCCTTCCCACCCTGCCCAAGGCCGTGCTCTCACTCCTCATCTCCAGCATTCTGCTGTGCCATCTCAAAAGCTGTTGCATTTTCCTCCGCACCTTGGATGAATTGCTTCAGTCACAGCTTCTCCCCTGCTCAAATTAAATGTTGCTTCCCTGGTTGTATTGATGTGTTCAGTGAAGATTACAGGGGGGGGAAATGCATTGAAGCACTGAATCTGCTGGAGTTCCCAATTAGCTTTCCCCCCCCTCCTGGGAGGACACGTTGTTGGGGATGGGCTGACTGCTGCACCTCCAGAAACAGTACCTCCATTTACACCCATCTGCACGCACTGCTCCAGGCTGATGTTATGGATCTGCTGGCAGAACCATCACAGCCAGGGGCACCGGGCAGTGAGGATGAGGTCCCTGGGTTGTGCACAATGCAGGAGGAGCAGCACCAGTGGCACTGATGGCCCAGCACAGCTGACATAATGCTGCAGTGCCTAACAGAGCAGTGTTGGTTTGGCACTGAATCACCTCTCTATCATCATCCCACAGCAAAAAGAATACAAACAGGGAGGATTCAGCCTCATGAGCCAGCACCTGCCTGCGGAGGCGGCTCTGGGCAGGCTGTGGTGGACGGAGCCAGCTCGGGTTAGCTCCTTTTTAGGAACCCTCCATCACAAACTCCCTTTCCTGGAGGCAGCTGAGCCCACGCAGAACGTGTACGTGCACCAGCTTCCTTGGGCTGGAGCCAGGCTGTTACTGGAGAAATGCAGGGGAAAGCCCAACCACCTCCCAGTGCCCGGAGCGCAGGGAGGAGGATGGGGACATCAGTGGGACGGGTGTCCCTGGGAACCCCAGGCACACACACCCGGAATGCTTTGAGCCTGAGCTCAGGGCAGTTCATTATCCATCACTGTGAATGCAAATCCTCCCAACTTGCTTGTGGGGGCACTTGGAGGTTTGGTGTCCAGCTCTCAGCCCTTTCCCAGGGACAAAGGATCTCCTGCATCCAGAAAGCAGCTGGGAGGTTATCCCTGGTATTGAGCTGACAGCGACCTGGCACTGCCCAGCCCCAAAGGCTGAGTGCAGAACAGTGGAGACCTGAGATCACTTTGTGATGGGGCACAGGCCAGGAAGATAGGGAAGGCTCTGCAGCTGCATGCTGGGGTGCACAACAAGCGATGCCCACAGCACATAGTCTGCATTGCTCCCATCCCTGGGCATCCTGGAGCCGAGCTGCTTGGGAAGAGAAGGGAGTGTGTGTGTCTGAAGCCAGCCATGCCTGCCCTCAGGGTGCTCCTCTGGGACAATGGGGGGGTTCTGCCAATGCAGGTTGTACCCCAAACACAGCTGACAGCAAAGGGGGTGTCAGGGGCAGCATGGACAGCCACTGAGCTGGGGTGATGCCTAACCCTCCTGTCATACCTTTGAGCTTTCAGCAAAGCTGCAGCCCTTGCTCCCAGTCCAAACCACAGCTGCATCGACCCAGAAGAGAAATCTGGGTGGAAAACCACATTTCGGTCACATATGGGAAGAGTACTTTCAAATTAATTTATTCAAGATAGTTTGGATTTATTCCTGACAATAGCTCCGGAAGCAGAAGTTTGTGATGGAAGTCTTTGGAGACCAACAATGAGAAAGAGGCAAATCAAACAACCAGTGCAAACATCCACAGGATTACGTATATGATAATTCACAGCAAGTTGTAGAAGGGGACCTGGGCACAAAACCAAAACCTGGAGAAGCGATGCCATGAACACCTGCTCTACCTGCCTGCTCAAAACAAAGACGTGCTGTTCCCAAGGTACTTCCAGGCAATGATGTGCTGCTCTCCACTGGGTCTCAATGGCAAAGAACATCCACAGGGCCCTGCAGCACCAGGAGAAGCCCAGCATCCCAGTTGCCCCGTGCCCACACAGCCCAAATGGCCTTTTCCAGTGCGTGCTGCCCAACAGACACCAGTTGCTATTTCAGGCTTTCTAGATAACGAGCGTGGTGAGGTGCACCCAGCAGCAAAAAGCAGAAGAGCTCCCAGTGGAGACTGCAGCCCTGGAGACAGTGAGATGCGGCTCCGTGCTGCTGAGACAGAGCACCCCAATGAGTTATGGGTTCTTCCTTCACTTGGTGCTGCACAGCGTCTGTCCTCATTCTAACGAGTGCATGACTAACAAACAAAGTGTCTCTAATTGCTGTGAAGCTGTGGGGCCCACGCTGGCCACGCCGCCCTCTGCAAACATGGGGAACACCCAGAGGAGAGGAGTGGTTGTGCTGCAGAGGAGCCTGGGCTGCCATCCCCTGCCCCGACCAGCAGCCCCAGGGCAGCCAACTGAGCCACTCTGCCCTCACACACTCCTCACGAGACTGTAATCCTGAGAACAGGCTGTGTCTCTGCAGAGAATCCCTACAGCAGGTTGACTTTGGCCACAACCTGCTTGCAGCCCAGCCTGGAGAACTGCTTGTCGCCCGTAGTGTAGTAGCTGAGCTGGCCGGCCAACCTCTCGACGTGGCTCTGCTCGGGGTACAGCCCTTCCCTCCTCATCTCCTCCAGGAAGCAGTCTATGACGTGACTCCTCTCCAGGAGAACGAAGGGGACGACGTCTGCTGCCTTCCACAGCGGGTGGGCATGGCTCAGCACGGGCTGGATGACGCTCAGCAGCTCCTCAGCTCCGCTCCGTTGCTGCAGGAGCTCGGTGGATGCGTTCTGGATGACAAACTTGGTGATTTCACCACCCCCTATGTTGCTTATCAAAATGTAGATGGCATTGAGGAACTCATTGGTTTGGTTGGGTTCAAAGAATCGGCTGAGAGTGTCCAGCAGGACCGGAGACATGAGCTCAACCTCATCCAGAATGAACAGCGGTATCTTCTCCTCGATTTCAGCTCTCGTAACCATGTCAGAAATCTTTTTAGACAAGTCTGTTTCACAAGTCAGAGGATCCACGCCGCTCGGGCAGTGGTGCATGACAAAGTACTGAAGCACGAAGTCATTGTCCATGACGGAGCGAAAATGCTTGGCCAGCAGCCAGCCAACGTGACTCTTCCCCACTCCTGTGGGGCCATTTAACGAGAGGACCAGCGGCTTGTTGTGGATGTGGGTAGCAAGATAGTCCTTCAGCAGCTGCATAATACTTTCCACAGCAAGCTTCTGCCCAAATACTTCCCGGTGCATTGTTTTCTCTAAGCCATCGAGGTCATATTTTTGGAGGTTGTCATCCAGGTTCTCTATGGCGTTGAGGATCTGGAAGAAGATAATGACGATGAGCAACAGGAGGCAGCGTTTGGCATTGCTCTTCTCCTCCGTTGGGAGGTATCTCTTTGTTTTGTCAGGGTACAGAACTATCCGAGATTTCCTTCGTTTCTTTTTCCTCCTGGGTTTGCTCATCGCCCACTCTTCCACAGATGTGTCAAAGGTGAAATACTGGGATGTCTTGAAGCTGGACTGGTTAAAGAAGGACTTGGAGGAGCCGTACAGACCAGACCTGTTCAGGGAAAACTGCCTCTGGAGCAGCCGTGCATGGACGGGCTCGGATGATTTTTCCTGGGGAAGCTCGAAGTGCAGACGGCTTTTCTTCTGCACTCGGTAGCGCTGCTTGAGGCGGACGATTGCCCTCAAGGGAGAAGAAATAAAAGAGATTTTCTTGGAAGCAGCAGTGATCTCAACATCAGGCATTTCTTCCCCTTCGCTCTCAGAGCAAGACGCCTCTCCCTTCGCATCGGTCTCCTTGCAGAGCAGCTCTCCCTCCCCATCGCTGTCAGAGCAGCGCATCTCTCCTTCCACGTGGCCATCAGCATAAGGGCCCTCTCCTTTTGCACTGCTTTCAGCACAGGACATCTCTCCTGCCACATCCTCCATGGCAGTGGGAAGTTCTCCATCCACCTCAGCACCAGACACCTCTCCTTTTGCACCACTCTCAGCACAGGATGCCTCTCCTCCCACATCCCCCATGGCAGCAGGTGCTTCTCCATCCACCTCTGTATCGAGCAGCTCTCCGTCCATCTCGCTCAGTTCTTACAGCCCACTCACATCCTCTTCTTTCTAAGGCAAAAAGGACAATGCAAAATCAACCTCTGTAAGAGCAGGAAGTGACTGACAGCAACCAAACGAGGCTGATTGGAACGACCACACACAGCCACGGGGTGTCCAAACACGGACCTCTGCGCGCAGCATCAGCCGTGCACCAAGGGGTGGGGAAGGCAGCGCCGGAGAAAGGGCGCCGTCGGACGGGGCGGGCGGCAGGATGCGTGCAGGTGGATCCCGCCCTGACCCCGTGCTGTTTCCTTAGCACCTGCCAAACACGAGCAGCACACAACAACACACCCCTCTATAAGGAAACAGCCATCCTACACCGCAGAGATACCGCCACCTCCCGCCCCCGTCCTTCCCCAGCCGGAGCCACGAAGAGCAGCGCGGTCACCTCCCGAATCCAGCCGTGGGAAACGCGTGGACGGAGCTCACCGGGCGAGCAGGGAGCGACGCGGCGATGGGAGCGCGGCGGGGAGCGGCGAGCGACGTCCTGCCGAGCCGACCTCCGGCCGCGAGGTGCCGGCTCCGTCCCCGCCCGCCGGCGCTGCCCGCCGTCCGTGTCACGGTGGGAGGGCACTTCCCCAGCGCTGACGCACGGGGACGGCGGCTGCGGTGACATCGGCGGGCAGGAAGCGGAGCCGGGCAGGGCGAGCAAAGCCGCTCCCAGCGGCCTCCCGACACGCAGCCCCGGCCCCGAGCGGCGCGGTGTGCGGCTGACCGCCGCCGGCCGGCCCCGGCACGTCGTCGGCTCTCACGTCGGGGCGGCCGTGCCCGAATCCGGCGCCCAGCGAGCTCCATTAGCCCCGAGCGTTAATTGCTCACCTTGCGCGGCGCCCGGCCGTGCCCCGCACCGAACCAGCCGGGCGAGATTCCTGCACGCAGCACGGCCGGAGGGCTGGCGGCCACGCCGGGTCCCCACGCTGTCCCCGTGTCACCCCGGCACCGCGGCGGTGCTCTCCAGTCCCGTTCACTTCTCTCACCCGGGCGCTGCCCGAATCCCACGGCACTGCCATCCCAGGGCAGCTGGGAACAACTCTATGGCACTGCCATCCCAAAGCGGCTGGAAGCAACTCTGTGGCACTGCCATCCCAAAAGCTGGGGATCAAACCCACCACGCTGCCATCTCACAGTGGCTGGGAGCAGCCCCACAGCACTGCCATCCCAAACACTGGGGAGCAGCCCCATAGCACAGCCAGCACTACACTCTGTGGGATATCACAGACCTTTGTCTGGGGGCAGTGCACCCCTCCTCCCCCCCGGGTTGCCCTACACCAGGGCATTGAGGAATGTGGGAATAGGAAGGGGATGCTGTCACAGGAATGGGTTTAGGGAGCAGAGTGGGAATGCAGGAAGCAGTGGCACATCCCAGCTGCTCCCCAGTAGATGCTGCAGGAACACCACCCACTGCCCTGCTGCACGGGGAGGTGACCCCAGGCCCTGCTTTGACAGCTGAGACCCCCACAGCACATCCACCCCACAGCAGGGGATGGCAACACCCTCTGAATGAAGGGGAGTGCAGGGACCAAAGCCCACCTCCAGCACCCCAGGACACTGAGAGCCACAGCTGCACCGGACAGCAGAGCGGGAGAAATGGTGCTGGGAAGGGGAACCACTGGGAAACCCCAAAGATTCCCCTGGGCTGGGAACAGCCACCTGCATCTGAGTGCGTGTGGGGAAAGTGCAGAGCAAAAGGGGGGGAATGGGCAGAGGGGATGGGAGCAGATTTATAGCTCCAGGGAGAAGCGGGTCGCCTGAATCCCTGTGCCACCCCAATCCTGTGCCACCCCAATCCTGTGCTCCCTGCACCTCTGTGCCATTTACATCCCCATGCCATCAGCATCACCACGTCACCCTCACTGCTGTCCCATCCCCATCCCGTGCAGCTGAGCACACCCCAGAACCTCACCACATCCCATGGTGCTCAGCTACTCCCCACCTCCCCGAGCACCGCACGAAGGCAACGGTGACACAAAGCCCCAAATGCAACCATTTCCCACCCAGCCCCATCTGCTTACTGACCGTGGGCTGGGCATGGGGTCCCTCTGCGTGTCCCCCGGGTGCTGCCACCAGCACTGCTCTGCCCTCACAGCTGCACGGTGCCGGGAGGAAATGGCGCAGAGGAGTGGCCCTGCACCACTTCCTCGTCCCACTCCACCCTGAGCATGGCTGCCCCGTGTGAGGGCACTGATGGGGCTGGGGGAACGTGTCGGCCTCGGGATGCTGAGTTTGGGTGATGATGTGGGGAGTGATGGGCCCCAGGCTGGCAGCAGTGGGGTCACAGAGGGCCTTGGGGATTATTGGGGTGCTCTCAGGGAAAAGAAGGTGAATCTGGGACAAAGCAGCGCGTGGGGAGGTGCAGGTTTGTGCCTGGTGCAGCTCTGTGCTGACAGCCCTGAGCCAAACCTCCCAAAAGTGACACCCCCAGCAGCAGTGCTGATGGCAGGGGCTGCACCCACAGCTTGGTGACCCCCCCCGTGCACACATGTGTGCCCACTCCTCTGAGCTCTGCTCAGCCTTGTGCAACGCTCTCATTTCTGGTGAACCCCAGGGGGAAAGCACAGGGTGGGAAATGAAACCCCTCTCCTGCTGGAGCAGCAGCCCAGGAGCTAAAGTAGCTGGGAAAAACAAAACCTCCCAACTATTTCCCTTCCCTGTATGGACTCTGTGGCTGTAAGGATCAGCCCAGCCATTCCCTGCAGTGCAGGGACATGAGCATCACATCGTGGTCCCCTCCAGAGGAGCCGTGAATGCATTTTGTGTGCTGCAGCCCTCATGGACACAAAACAAAGCATTTTAGGGGATAAACTGGAGGTTTTGCAATGGGAGAGCTCCTCCCCAGCAGCACTTAGCATGGATGCATACCATAAAAAAACGCAGAAGCAACGATCCCCAGCCCTTGTTAAAAACAGCTACGGGGAGAGCAAGAAGCTGCCACATCCAGCTGAAGGCAGTGGGTGTGCAACGGGATGGGGTTCTGTGCAACAGGGCTGTGTGTGCAGCAGGGGGGCACTGCAGCTGTGGGGAGCATGCAGGTGCAACAAGGTGGGTGTGTGCAGATGGGGGGAAAGCTGTGCCATGGGGGGAGCATGCATGTGCACTGGGGGAGTGCAATGGTGGGGGGGCACATGCACGCAGGAAAGGCTGTGTGGGGGGGAGGGGGGGAAACTTGTGCTTTGGGGCAGCGCAGTGATGGGGGGCACACACATATTGGGGGGGAGACCACATGCATGCAGAGGATCCTGCAGGTGGGCAGTGCCCCTGGCCACCCTCTCCCCCCCCAATCTCGAAGCCCCCCACTCACCACAGGCAGCCTGGAGTCATGCAGCCCCCGCCGGGGCCCCCAGGAAGGACGCAGCCAGGAGCAGCAGCTGCACAGCCCTTCCTGCAGGGCCAGGAATGCAAATCCTGCCCAACGCCGCCTCTCCCGTGGCTCAGCCCCACTGGGCCCTCCTGGGAAAAAAGGGGTGAGAAAACCCAGGGGAAGCTTTGGGACACCCATCTCTTGTGGTCACTGGGACCAGGGGGGACCCAGAGTGTTGGCAGCCAACATGGGCTGGGGACACCCCACACAACCTGCTTTTGCTTTTCCATCAAATTTAGCTCTTTTCGCTGCATTGTGGCATCGTTGAGCTGGGTGCATGCAAATCCCGTGGTGGCAACCAAGACACAGAACAGGGCTGGAGGTACCCAGAGGGATCATGAGCAGGGAGGTGCCATGCTTCCCTTCCCCGAGAACGGAAGAACAGGAAAAAAAATAAACTAAACTAAAAAAAAAAAAACCCAAAAAACAAACCAACAATGAAAGAAAGCATAACCCTTCTTCCCACGCTGCCGGGTGGGAAATTTCCAAACCCAAAAACAAACTGCAGCCCACAGCAGGTGGGCAGGAGGTCTGTGGGGCAGGAGGGTCCGTGGCACCATTCAGCCCCACCTCACCATTAGCAAAACTTTCCAGGCTCCGTCAGCAGACGTGGCCGCACGTGTCCCCAGTAACCCAAACAGTTTACATGCGGGCCGGGAGCATCCCTTGTAGGGAAGAGGCATCCTGCTGGGTTTCTGGAGGGTTCTCTATAAACAGTTTATAAATAGAGCAGTGTACCTGGAGTGCTGGGATCTGCTGGGACGAGGGGGGTTCCTCTGGCTGCAGTGCTCCCATTGCACAGTGCAGGATGAGATGAGCCAGAAGCACCAACTGTTATTTGTACTTCTGGCTTGTTTCTTTTTTTTTTTTTTTTTGAGCTTCCGCAGTTCAGCCTGCAAAATTCCTTCCCCAGCTTGTTTCAATTAGCTTTGAGCCTTTTATGTTTCATCCGACTTGAAATGTTCATTAAACCCAAGTTGTGGCTACTGTAATGCTTCGAAAGTTGGGCAGTGACAGCCGCCCCATGGCTCTGGGATGGGGACACTGTGGGGACCCATGGCTCTGGGATGGGGACAGAGCAGCCTCAGGCAGCACCACTCTGACCCAGCAAACCCTGAGCTCACACTGCAGTTTCTGCAGAGGAGAAAGTGAAGTGTCCCCATATCCCAAAGCAGAGAGGAAAACCCCACAGGAGCTGCTCCAGCAGCACAGAGCAAGAGGCAGAGCAGAGCTGGGGGTTCCACAGGCTTTTGTCTCTGAGTCCTCATCATGTGGGTCCTGGGTGCAGCTTGCAGGGATGTCCCAAGCCATGGCACAGCAACAGTGGGGCCAATGCTGTGTACTCCACCCTGTCCAGCCCCAAATGATGAGTCCATTGCAATCCTACCAGGGTCTGGTGGGATCCACATTGCTCCTGGTGTGTTCAGTTTGGATTTCCTCCCCTGCCTGCTGCTGTTTAGGACTTGCCACCGTTTATCTGTGCCTGGAGCAACGTCCTGCACATTTGCCCTAAAACCCAAATTTTCCACCCTGCTCAGGGCTTCTGCAGCACTGTGTGCACACCCCAAGCACAGCCATGTGCACCATGCAGTCACACTGACCGAAAGTGCCCTCCCCACATCACCCCTGGGACCACCAACCCACTGCTTCACCCACCCCAGGTCCCCAACATCACCACCTGCAGTGGGTCCAGGGATCCCCAAGGGGGATTTGCCCTCACAGGAAGGGCAGCACAGAGGCTCCCCAGGCATCACTTCCAATTGCCAAATGTTATTCCCCCCCAACCTGCTCCAGCAGAATGACAGGAGGACATTTGTTCCCTTCTGGGATGGAGGGAAATCCCCAGTGAAGGCTGACCATGGGGGTCTGTGAGTCTGATTCATTCCCTACAGCACCAGGAACGTCTGAACAGCAAAACACAGCACCCAGTTCCTAGCACTGCAAGGCCAGCAGCCTGGAGGAAGGCCTGCAGGGAAACAACAACACGTGCTCCCACCCCTGGGGGAAGAGCTGCAAACATGCATGAGGGAGATAAGCCCACAGCAGCACTCAGGATCCCCACAGGGCTGGGCTTAGGATCTCTTATGCACTGACAGACAAGGCTGTAACCCTGAAACACACCAAGGACGCAGAGGAGAAAGTGAATTTGTCCCCATATCAGTGGGTTCTAAAGGGAGAGGAGTATTCATGCTGTGGTAAAGCAGCACTGCCAGTGCCTGGACAGTCCTCACATGCCCCCAGGACTAACCAGCTCACCCTGGCAAACTGCTCTATCTCATCCTCTACAGCATTCCTCATCCCACAGTAAAACTATTCCACCCGTCTTTAAAGTCCTGAGCAAGGTTTAGGGGACCCTGGGGTCTCCCTGGAACCACAGGAGACAGCACAGACACCACGTTTGTTTTGACACGAGGAGACACAGCCAACAGTTCCCTCCAAACCTCCCACAGCTGCGGCGGTGCCCGGCTGACTGCAGAGCTTCAGCATGGGGAAGTGTTGCAGAAAGCACCGCTGAGAGGAGAGAAAAGTGCTGGCACCAACCCAGAGACCACTGCTGGGTTTTTATTGACCACTGACGGGGATCAGACACTCATTTATGAGAGGAAGGTAACGTGGGCAGCAGCTCCAGCCCAGCCGTTCTGAGGGCTGCACAGCCCACACTGTTGCTGAGCTGACTTCCCAGGTGCCTCCTGTTGGGAGGGGGCACAGCACCCACCCCCAGCACAGAGCCTACCCAGCAGGATGCACAGAGCTGGGCAGCACCAGGCACTCACAGCCTAGTTGCAGTTCTTGGGCAGGCGATAGACGCCTCCGGAGTAGATGAGCTGCTGGTCCCGGACCTTCTTCTGCAGGAAGCCCTGCAGCTCCTGTATGTCGATCTCTGTGACCACAGGGCCCGTCATCACAAACATCTTCAGCATGCTGTGGATCCTCTCTAAAGACAGGCTCTCCAAGTTGGTCAGCATCGCCTGGATGTAGGTCCAGAACAGCTGCAGGGACACGCAGTAAACCACCATTAGTACCAGAAAAGGGCTGCTGAGAGCCCAGGCTTTAAGTGGGGAAATACCCAAGGAGGGGATGAGGTATCTTCACACAGCCAGAATGCAGGATGTGTTACTCAGGGGGTAAATGCAGGCAGGGCACCTCCATGGTGCACGATGGCACAACACACATCACAGTGTGACACACGGGTACAAGAAGAATGGGAGTGTCCAGGGCCACCCCTTACAGACAGCAAAGCTCAGCCTGGCTGTGCTGGATACGCCTTTCTGGTACTGTAAGCTGAAAAACACTGGGTGAATCCAACCTATGTCTGTTTTCAAATATGAAATCAACGCCTGAAGAGTTGCATGGATACATTTCTGGAGCAAAGGCAGCTGTCTAATACCCACATTACCCATACCCTGGGTGCCAGCAGGGACAGGGAGGTGATTGTCCCCCTCTGCTCTGCTCTTGTGAGGCCCCATCTGCAGTGCTGTGTCCAGGTCTGGAACCCCCAGTACAAGAAAGACAGGGAGCTGTTGGAGAGGGTGCAGAGGAGCCACAAAGATGATCAGGGAACTGAAGCACCTCCCCTGTGAGGACAGGCTGAGGGAGCTGGGCTTGTTCAGCATGGAGAAAAGAAGGCTGTGGGGTGAGCTCATTGCAGCCTTCAGTACCTAAAGGGAGCCTACAAACAGGAGGGGAATCAACTCTTTGAAAGGGGAGATAACTGCAGGACAAGGGGAAATGGTTTGAAGCTGAGGGAGGGAAGATTGAGGTTGGATGTCAGGGGGAAGTTCTTTACTATGAGAGTGGTGAGGTGCTGCAACAGCTGCCCAGAGAGGCTGTGGATGCCCCGTCCATCCCTGGAGGTGTTCAAGGCCAGGTTGGATGGGGCCCTGGGCAGCCTGGGCTGCTATGAAATGTGGAGGTTGGTGGCCCTGCGTGTGGCAGAGGTTGGAGCTTCATGATCCTTGAGGTCCCTTCCAACCCTGGCCATTCTGTGATTCTGTGATATTGCCAATAGTTATGTGGATGATTGATTCACTTCAAATCCTCTCAAGCTGGAAGGACAAAAAGCGAATCCAAAGGGCAAATCAAATCCATCCCCAAAAGCCAAAAGCACTGGACGTCTGCACTGTGCCACCCGCCCTGCAGGCGCCCAGACACACCTGCAGCTCTTCCTCTTTCTGGTCAGCCTGCGAGGCCATGGCAGAATCCCCCTCCTCGTCGCTGTCTATCAGGACGACCTTCTCCCCCTGGTCCTTCTGCTCCTCCTCGATGACAGTGAAGGTGCCGGGCGGCTCCTCTCGCAGCACTCCCTGCTGCAGCCACAGCGTCATCTTCCGCTTCAGAGACGTCACGGGCACCTTGAGCACCTCGCTCAGCTCCGCCAGCGTCCACGTACCTGCAGAGAGCACGGCTGTCAGGGGGGGCTGCAGGACACCGTGCCCATCCCTCGTGCCAGGGCTTAACAAGAAGGGAGGAAGGCAGCCCAGGGGTGAGCGGCCACACGCAGGGCCTTCCTGCAGGCACCGGGTGCTGAGCTGTGCTTTTCTGAGTGCTGTCTCCTTGCAGAGCTGTGGTAGATCCGAGCTCCAGGCAGGTCCTGCCCAACCCCCTGACGGGGCTCTCGGCCCTGTGGCAACGCAGCCTTTCCACCCACCTCTGTGTGCCACATCACATCACTCACTCTTGGTCTGGAAGTGCAGGATGATGGCAGCATGCACAGGGGAGACGGACAGGGAGAGCGTGCGGTCGGCCAGCTCCACATCCAGGCTCACCAGCCCCAGGTGGTACTTCCAGTTCAGGGTCCTCATGGCCTGGAAGAGAGAAGCAGCAGATCTTCCAGCCCCTTTGTTGCTATGGCTAGCTGAATTCTATTCACCTCCAACAAAGACAAAGGCTGCTCCCACTTCACGAATCTCTGTCCCACCATTATCCATTCCCTGCTCCCTCAAAAGGAAACACCCTTGACATGAGTTGTTGCCCAACCCTTGCCCAATACCAGTGTCTCTCTCCTGCCTGAAAACCTCTCCTCAAGAGAACAAACAGAAGAGTAACAGAGTATTGAAGTAAAGAGGCCCAACAGGACGGGATGTGCACTGGCACGGGCTGCACAGGGAGTGGTGCAGTCACCATCCCTGGAGGTGCTCCAGAACCACAGAGATGTGGCCATTGGGGACAAGGTCAGTGGGCATGGTGGGATGGGCTGATGGCATGGTGGGATGGGCTGATGGTTGGACATGATGATCTCCGTGGTCTTTTCCACTGTAATGGTTCTACTATTTGTTCTTCTGGCAGTAGCTAAGCTGGGATAGCTTCTAATCCACTTTCAAAGCTGGAGGACTTTGGTATTCCACTGTCACGCTGTGGGTGCAGCAGCAGCTATGCTGTAAGGGGTGTTACAGGGACTCTAGAAAATCATGCAAACTCATGCTACATAGCAGAGCTAGCAACACAAAACTCTTATGGAGGGTTAAGGAATCCTCACCTTCAATTTCTCGTACTTCTTGGAATAGGCTTCCATGGCTTCCTTGACCTGCTCTGGAAGCTCCAGCTTCTCCTCCTTCAGCGGTGGCCAGAACTCACTGGACAGGATAACAGCCACAAGGCTGAATGGTGGCCTCTCCTCCTCCGGGAGCTTTTCTTCCTCATCACGAATGTTGGCGTTAATGCGCCGTGAGTCAGCCATGTCCTGGAGAAGGCAGAGGACAATAAGAGCCCTTCTACATCCACAACAGTGTCGGCAGGAAGAGCAAGGGATGCACCAACACTGCAGCATCCACACCAGCCAACAACCCCACCCACCACACTTGAACAGCCATCCCTAATGCAATTCTGCCTGTCACAACTCAGCCCCCTCACTGGGATTCTCATGACCCCATTTCACTAAAGGACTCTTTGTGGTCACTCTTCTTCACCAACGAGCAAAAGCACCCAGAACTTGAATTTAAAAAAGCCAAAAACAAACAACAACAACAAAAGTCAATTACTTTTAACATGACTTCACAATAGTGCATCTGAGCTTCGCCAAACCGCAGCTTGAGCAGCTCCACGTTGCGGATTTCCCTGGTGAGAGAAACAAAGGATCACACGTGGGTTCCAAGAGACAAAGTTGGGTTGCAGCTGAGGTTTCCTGATGGTTCACCCCTTTTTTGTACTTTGACACCTTCTGCTGAGCCTCAGCAGCCCCTGAGGGTTGCTGGAAAATAGGGGATGGAGCTCAGGGCGTCTGTGCTTCCACATCCCTATGTGCTGCCCTATTAGTGCAAGCCAAAGGCAAGACTGGGCAGCAGGCAGCTAGTGAGCCCTGAACTTCCAGATGCCAACCATGACTGCAGAGGAGATGGCTGCAGAAATGGCATTCTGTAGGCCCAAGGCTGGAGCAGACCCTGCCAGGTGATTTCAGCTGCATCTCACCTCTCCGCACTGTAGTTGAACTGATGCAGCAGTCGGTCGGCCAGGAGCGTGCGGTACTCGTTGATAAACAGATCCTTGCTGCCATAGATGCTCACCAGCAGGCTGATGATGTCTGAGGATCGGCGCTTGGAACTTGATTTCCCTATTGAAATGCAGCAGAGAGCAATGTGAGATGAGCAAAGCCCCGGCCCAGACTGGCACAACCAAACGAGTGACTCAAGACTACAGCCTGCCATGGGGAGACAGCGGGCTGCCTTGATGCCTGCTCTGAATTAACCTGGATCTGCATCAACTGGGTCAGGGACCCAGTCCCCTGGTTCTGAGATGTCATCATCACTCTCCTGCCCGTTCTCCAGTGTCACTGGGTCAGCTTTTGAGAGCTCATTTGCCAGATCTCCGGAGCCCTCAGCATCCCCCGTGAGACCGGCCACAATCTGCCGCACGGTGTCCTCCCGTGTCCTGCCAAAAGGTGAGAGATACAGAGCAATGAAGGGAAGGGGAAGGGGATGCACAGGGCTGCCCTGAGGGCCTCTTACCTCAGATACTTCCTGATGGGCTCACAGGCAACCTCCAGGATAACCATGGAGGGGTCCAGCTCCCGCAGGGCCTTGATGGCCGAGATATACAGAGTGATGATGTCGGATGTGTTGACACCTAGGAGAGGAGCAGGGCAGCAACCCAGAGTCCCAGAGCACAGGTTTGGATACAAGAAAGGTTCTGTTAGATCTATGGAGCTGGAGGCGAAGGGCTTGCAGCCCTTTTGGCTCATCCAATGTGGAGAGAACAGATCTTTATGGCTGAGAAACCAGCTCCAGCCACAAATGCAGGCTCAAAGACTACTGTAAACCAGCTTAGCTTCCCAACCCATTCAGATCAAAGCTAAACTTGGGAAGCAGAAGGGGCTGGGATGTAACCAGCTGCCACTGCCCATGCATGCTCCACACAGAGAGCTCACAGAGTGCACAGCCCGGCTGCCTCTCGCTCAGCAGACCCTCACAACCAGGCTCCTAATTGTGCTGTGATGACATGCACAGGGATGTAAAACCCACCGGGATGCAGAAGTCGTATTTCCAGGGCGCTTTTCAGGGAGCTGAGCAGCTGCTGCCTCAGGTTTGTCCTTTCCAGGCAGAACTTGAGGTCCTCCACAGCAGGCTTTGATTCTGGGAAATCTACAGACCAAGCAGCGATCAGAAGCAGTGCCACACATCACAGGGAGACACGTGGCACCAGGAGGTGAGCGCATGGCGAGCACAGATCTACCATTCAATCCAACCCTGCAGTGAACGAGTGGGTGACACCGACCTCGAATAATGCTGAACAGCTCTTCAATCAGCATGCTGGCGTAGATGCGGTAGAAGAACCTCTGGACGTGGCACCGCCAGCGCTTCAGGGTGCTGCTGGCTTCTGCAGAGGGGTGAGCCAAGGGGCCATCCTGCAGAAACACTCTGCTGAGCCAGCCGAGCACCTTCTCGATCCACTGCAACAGCAGAGGGAGAGCACAGGGATGGAGGACACCTCTGCACAGCAGAATATTCCATCCTGCAGAGTTCGACTGGTTTTTAATCTACGTTTGCAGAACTGTGCATCCCCTTCCCCTTCCCTTCATTGCTCTTTGAGGGAATAGGAGCAAAGTGCTCAGCTCGGCACCCTCAGCCCAGAACTTCAGTGGTTCCTGGAATCAGTAAAGAACAAGCAAGCCATCCCAAACACTCCCAGACCTACCAACCAAATGCAGGCACTCAGACAGGATCCTGAGTACCAACCCAGCCTTTTCATAATAACATCCTACAACCTGATCAAACAGCATCAGAGGCCGATTTTATATACTGGAGATCTCATTTTCTACTTTGTCATATTTGTCATAATTCAAACACACCCAACTACTACATCCAGACACTCAGAACAAATGGGTTTATTTTCTCCTTAAGACAGCAAATGCGTAACACTACTTGAGGCAGTACTTCAGTATTAATAGTTATTAAGTGCTATTATGTTTTGATAACCAGGTTTGGGCAGCCTGAAAAATGTTCAGTTTGGGTGTGGGGTGCCAATGTTAATGCTTGGTTGTCTGCTTGACCAATGACTGGAGGAGTGCATGAGTTCTGCCCATAGAACTACAAGCCAGAAGAACCTGCTGCAGCACAGAGCACCCAAGCATCAGTCCTGGGCAATACTGGGAAAGCTGAAAAGCATTCTCCTAAAGGGCAAAAGGAAAGGGTGATCATCAGTGCAAAGCACCTCGATCGTGAGGAGCACCTTTATCCAACCACGCTCCCCAGGAATTTGTCTGAGTGCCCTTTGCAGCAGAGCCAGAGAAGAAAGTGTTGCACAGCAACTGTAGGGAAGTAAACACCAAATCACTGCCAGCGTTTGCAGACAACAAAAGCGCCCAGCGTGGCACACAGTGAGGAAACCAGGACAACAGCACGGAGCTGCCTGGTTCGCATGGCAACCTGACCTCACACGCTGTTCGTCAGTGCAGACCAACGTAAGGCCATGCATCAAGGAACAAAGAGCACAGAGCGAGCGTGCAGAGCACAGCCTGTGTCCCAGAGCAGCCAGAACCTTGAGAAGAGCTTTAAGGTCATACAGAGCAAAGAACTCGACACAAAGTCGGTGCAAGGCAGCAGCAAGGGAACCGAGGAGGTGCAAGAACACTACCTGCCCACATTGCTTCCTGTTTCAAAGGGATGCAGGCAATTTAGGACAGCAAACAGCCACACAAACTCCATCTACGTGCAGGGAAGGCTGGCTGCAGCTGCATGGCATACTGCCTTCACATTGTTGGTAGAATAGAACCACCAAAATTCCTCCATTAATAGAATCACAGAATGGCCTGGATTAAAAAGGACCACAGTGCTCATCCAGTTCCAACCCCCTGCTGTGTGCAGGTCACCAACCAGCAGCCCAGGCTGCCCAGAGCCACATCCAGCCTGGCCTTGAATGCCTGCAGGGATGGGGCATCCACAGCCTCCTTGGGCAACCTGTTCCAGTGCCTCACCACCCTCTGGGTGAAGAACTTCCTCCTCATATCCAATCTAAACCTCCCCTGTCTCACTTTAAAACCATTCCCACCTGTCCTATCACCATCCACCCTCACAAACAGCCATTCCCCCTCCTGTTTATCCACTCCCTTCAAGTACTGAAGGCCACAATGAGGTCTCCCAGAGCCTCCTCTTCTCCAAGCTAGACAAGCTCAGTTCCCTCAACCTTTCCTCATAGGAGAGGTGCTCCAGCCCTCTGATCATCTCAGTGGCCTCCTCTGGATATGCTGCAAGAGCTCCATGCCTTTCTTGTGCTGGGCCAACAGAGACATTGCCAGGTGAAACGTAACGACCTGCTGTGTGCAGGGCAGAGCAGACCCTCTCCTCTAGCATAAATCCAAAATGCCAAGTTTTAAGCACTCCTCTTCTGCCAGGGGTGGTGGAAGTCACAGCCCAGGACCGAGGAATTGAGGCAGAGTTGGGAATTTAGTGGCAGGAACAGGAGCAGCTCCACACCTTCCTTACCTCCTGGAACTCATTCAGGAAGGAGTGCTCATATTCACCCCGGCATCGTCGCTCCATCCTCTCCTTGATCATCCTGTGCAGGATGGTGGTCACAGCATCAGCACTCACTCTCTCCAGCAAATTCAGCCGGCGGCTGCGGGCACAGAGACCAGAGTGAGCGAGCAGAAGCAAAAGCACACAGAGAAAACTGAACTACCAGAGGGCACCTGCTGCCACGTGGTGCACAGGTGCAGGCGTAGCTCTTAATTTAAGCACTCTGATGGCTGGCAGTGATGCACTACTCACACAATACGACACATGAATGCTATCATATCTTTTTCAGAAACACTGTCTTAGGATTATAGAATCACAGAATTGTTTGAGTTGGAAGGGACCTTAAAGGCCATCAGGTCCCACTCCCTGCAGTGCACAGGGACACCCACAGCTCCAGCAGTGCTCACAGCCCCAGCAGCCTGAGCTTGGCTGTCTGCAGGGATGGGGCATCACCACCTCTGTGCAACCTGTGCAGTGCCTCACTGCCCTGAGCGTAAAACCTTCCTCTTATATCCAGTCCAAATCTCCCCTCTTGTAGTTGGAAGCCATTTTCCCTTGTGCTATTGCTACAAAACCTGCTAAAGTCTGTCCTCTTCTATAATGTAAGACATTATTGCTATCCCATCTTATTCAGAAACATTTTCTAGCTATCCAAAGCTTTTTCATCTAGAGCAGTTTGCTTCTTCAGGACCTTGGGGGCCTTTGGAAGATATTCCCACCCCCAGTGAGAGGCACTTCTGTCCAAAGCACCACTCCAGTTCAGTCAGCAGCCAGCAAGCAGCTGCAGAACCCACATGAGAAGATCCCAACCCAGGGCATAACATCACACACAACTCCTCCGTTTCTCAGCCATGAATAAACCCAGGGCTGCTGCCCTCACAGGACCACCTGCTCGTGGGGCAGCCCTGTGCCATACGTACAGAATGTCATTGAGCTGCCGGAACCGCTCCATGGCCGTGGGACACCAGCACTGCTCCCTCCTGCTGCCACAGCCCGCACACGCAGTGCTCTCCCCTCCGCTCTCCTCCGTGTCGCTCTCCTGCTCAGCCTCGCTCATGCTGCTCTCACACTCGTTCATTCCTTCTTCTCCCTTCCTCCACTGCCTCATGTATATCCGGAAGGTGCGGCTGTAGAACTGCTGGATCATCTCCTGGAAGGGCTTGGTGGTGGAGAAGAAAAGGATGGCTTTGAACATGGTGTACACCTTCTCCCGCAGCGTCTGAGCGCCCGTCCCCAGGAGGAGGCCCGCCTTGGTCCAACCCTCCAGGAGCTCCATGCTGCTCAGGTAGGGCTCCAGGCGGCACTTGAGAAGACAAAACGCATCCAGGAGGAGCGCGGAGCACTGCTGCTCTTCCGCCGTGTTCTCATATTGGCCGATGCAGTTCCAGAACTCGGGAGCGATGTGGGCCTGCAGGTCGGTCTGCAGCACCTCCAGGAACCACTCCTCCACCGCAGCGTGCAGCCCATAGCAGCGCAGCACCTCCAGGGCAGCACGCAGCTCAGCATCCTGCAGTGGGCACAGCGGGTCACACCGTGCTGCTGCCTGCGGGGCAGAGGGGACGTGTTGAGCACACAGCCACTTCTCTATGTCCCATCCCTGGAGGTGACCACAGCCATGGATGAGGTTCTGGGCACGGTGTGGGGCAGCCAGCCCGCAGCACAGGGTGGCTGGGCTGTAAGGATTCTTCCAATCCAACCGTTCTGTGCTTCTGTCATCTATAAGGGATCCTTCTAATCCAAACACACTGCCATCTATAAGGACCCTTCCAACCTGACCACGCTGTGATCTATAGGGACCTTTCCAACCCAACCATTCTGTGGTTCTCTGACCTATAAGGACCCTTCCAACCCGACCATGCTGTAACCTATAAGGACCCTTCCAACCCAACCACCCTCTGATTCTGTGATCTACAAGGACCCTTCCAACCTGACCACGCTGTGATCTATAAGGACCTTTCCAACCCATCCATTCTATGGTTCTCTGACCTATAAGGACCCTTCCAACCCAACCACCCTCTGATTCTGTGATCTGTAAGGACTCTTCCAACCCAATCATTCTGACTCTGTAGGCAGACATGTGCCAGAGGGAACCCACAGCCCACAGAGTGATGATGTGTGGGCTCTGCCCACCCCACCAACCCAACGCTACTGGATTAAAATCAGTTTTGTTGCTTGTAGACATTTAACTGTATTACATATTTTATGAGGGCTGCTCCGAAAGTAATGCCTCCTGTTTTATTGTATTGGCCCACTGTGTCAGAGGGGGATGTGGGTGGGATGGCAGCAGAGGCTGAACCTTCCCATCAATATGCTATTGCCACGTGTCTGACATGGAAGTGTAAGGAGAAAAGGGTGGAACTGAATTCTTTCGCATGGAGAAAATGGCACCCACTGACATTTACCAATGTTTGTGGAGAAAAAAAAAGTGGATGTGGGCACAGTGAGGGGTGGGTGGTGCATTTCAGCAGCGGTGACAGTGACAGTGGTCACCTCCAGTTGTGCAGCTGGTTATGAGGGCAGCACACAGCTCTTCTTCATCACCGGTGAAAACACAGAGCTAACGGTGGTGGCTGCACACTGAAAGATAGCTGAGAATTTAGCGCAAACGGCTCTATTTACACTACCGTCCCTTTACATCTAATTACAGCTGCCGCAGAACACAACAGAAGGCATCACTTTCGTTGCGACCTACCTACACACAGCCCAGCACCGCCTCTTTCCTCCCGGAACATTCAGCATCCCTCGCACAGCGGTGTGCCGGGGG